AGGCGGGGCGGGGGGAGGGAGGGTGATAAGGAAGAAGAACCCGGACTATCCGCGCAGAGTTATTAGTATCTGGACTGCCGGGCTCTCTTCTAGGATAAGAAGAAAAAGATGGCGGATATCGGTGAAGATAAGGTAGGTGAAAGAAGGTCAGCGGTAGATTCGAAGTTACCGAAGGACAATTTATCCTTAAAGTTTTCTCTATCAGGATCGACTCGGCTATCCTTCGGACGCGAGTTACTTTGGGAATACGCTGATAAAGATACCGGAAACCCGTTCGTCCCTTGGCCCTTACGGTGTGGTGGGTCGTGGATATTTTTTTTCATCCCTTCCCTTTTTCTCTCCCTTTTGTTTTACGAGCCTTTCAAACCGAACGTATTCAAATGACCTCACGGGGTATATGACCTAACCGGTGGGACGCCGCGAGGACAACCCCTTGCGTGTTTTCCCATCCATTAAAGAGTGCGTGGCCTGTGGCGCGATACGTTAGAGTTTACGAGTGACTTTAGGGCGAACCATGACCTCGGTGCTTGGAGGGAAATTCAAAGGGTCGATAAGAGCGGAGAACCGGGGAGGGCCAATTTAGTGTTGGGGGGTGGATTAAGCCGCGGGAGGAAGTGCCCAATCCCAGTGGGTAAGTCACCCTTCCAGTGTCGCACCTCTCGAATTAGATGGTGAAAAAGTTTTTCACGAGGGGTCGAAACGGCATGATATAAAGACCCCCGCCACTATTCTCGCCACCCTTATTTATAAACCACTCGCTCGAACCGTATATACAGCTACTTCATAAATGGCCAGGATCCGTAATCTGAATTAATCCACCCTCTTCGTTGGTATAAGGCCGAACATATAGTAGAACGAGTAGCCGAGTCAAGGGTGGATTGAATAAACGTATTTCGCGGGGGTCCTAGTGTTGTCCCCGTTCTTATACTCTCCCTGCGAAATAGAACGAAATAAAGATCAGTCGACAAGCCCCAAGTAAAAGACTTTCTTCGCCCTCCCGCAGTCTCCTTCTCTAAGGGATGAGAATTGATAGAGCCCTATCCGTAGCTTTATTGATGAGCGTCCAATTCATTTAGTTTTATCGACCGAGAGCCAATAGAAGGAGGGGAGGTGCGATCCCTTAATTAAATTTTATGTCTTCCGAGAGTGACAAGCTTCTCTCAAATTAACCATGGTGCCTATAGAATCATCCCTTGGAAGCGATTAAAAAAAAAATTTCACACCAATTCCGTCGCCTTCTCTTAACTCAGGAAAAAAAAAAAAAAACATGTAAGTCGGTTGACTGACAGCTACCATATAATGCAGAGTTTCCAACGGGCTACAAGCGTAACGCACTTTTCATCTGATAATGACTCGAATGTCGCTCGAGCGACGGATACAATGTGTACGGGAGCTGAAAGCGAGACGACCCAGATACATTCGTAAAGCACTTTGTGCAATGTGTAGCCTTTGACACAGCTGCCAGCTCGAATTGACAGTCGAAAAGGGAAGCGGAATTCAGGAACACGTTGACGTCTGCATTGGGAAAAGTTATTCGCAGTGATGGAATTTCAAAGCACTCTTGGGAAGCTTCGATGAAGAAATATTTTTAAGTAATTTAAAGCCGCACGAAGAAGATTGTATTTCATGACAATTCCAATTGGACGGATGAAAAGAATTAAGTAATGTCTAGTTCGATACTCGTATCGTTTTGTTATACCGAGATATTTTCTTTCACTTTGTGAAACAATGAGAAATTCACCGGCAATGAGAAAACCGAGAACAGTCCCCCTATTCTTTTACAGGGGATGAAAAGGTACTTGAGAAGAATACTGAATGAGTTGAAAAGTTTAAAAGTCAGGAAAAAACTTCTTGGACGGAAGCTGGACGCGTTCGGTACCGGCGATGCAAGAATTATTCTCTTGGTCATCCTTTCGTTTTTTGAAGACAGTGGTCCACGCTGATCGTGGCGATGGTCCAGAAAAAACAAAAGTCCGTACAGTGATTTCCATCTGGATGGACGTACAAAGGAGGATCGGAAAATTGACGCACCGCTTCCCAATGCCGATTCCAATATTTATGGTTTTTTTTTTTAAATGCTAAGAAAAAACCTGGAGCATATGTTACTTCAAGAGGAATGGTAAAAGGAAATTGAAAAATGAAAAGGCAAAAAATTTGCTTGCTGGCTTGTATTCTCATCCCTTATAGCTACAAGACTCAAAAGCCCCACTCTCTCCCTTCTTTCATTGGCATGGACAAAGTCCCATCGCGAGCACTTCTGCCATCACTCGAGTTTAGCCGAGTCTTTCAAGTTTTAATTAAGCCGTAATAAGCACTTTAATGTCCCGCTGTGACAAAAGGCAACTTCAGGTCGAACGACACTGAACTATCCCCAAAGCCCAGTATCGCTGCTAGATGGACGAGACGCTGAAGTTTCGAGCGTCGGACACAGAAGGACGAGAGAAAAATAAAGTTAATAGCCTGAGGGAAGCACGATAGTCTCGTGTACAGACGGGAAGGCGGGACAAAGGGGAGACGGATAGGAAATGCTGTAAAATGAAAAGAGATAAAGAGAAGTAGAAAGAAGTACCATTATAAAGATAGAAGAAAGAATAATATATGCAAGATATAAGAAAAGTAAAACGAACAAATTACATAAAATCATTGACAATA